CTCAAGTTATCTTTTTTTGTTTTTCACATACCTCTCTTTGGCTAACATTCCTCCATTTTTATATTACGTCTAGACCCAAAGGTCGGGCCCACTCTTAACCTTGCACATAATTATTTAGTTGGCCTTCCTGTTGAGCCATGGCTCTCGTTCGGCTCCTTATATAGCCGATTCGAATACTCAACTCCTTGAGCCCCTGGTCAAGGCCGAATTGTCTTCGGCTTTTGTCTCAATTGGATTCCTTGGCCTTCCTCATTAATTCAATTCGGCCCCCACAACTATTTATAATAAGAAATATAATTCCATATAATTATATAACCAAATCATTCCAAACTCTACTATTCTAACCCAATACATATTTAAACTAATAATTGTATGAGACATACATTTATCATATGAGTGGATTAATCATAAACACTGTGAAGATAGGAAAGTTGGGTTTTATGTAAGGCTGCAAACGAGCTGAGCCGAGTTGAATTTTCAAACGTTCAAACTCGTTTATTAAGAATTAGTTGAGCTCGAACTCGAGCCAAACTCTAGTCGAGCTTCAAAAATCAAGCTCGAGCTTGGCTCATCAAATATTTGTTAAACTCAAGCTCGACTCGAGCTCGCTCGATTACATTAACGAGCTAAGTTCGAGCTCGAGCTTGATCTTGAAAAAAAATTAAATTTAAATTAATTTACGTATTAAGATTAAAAAAAATACAAAATTATGAGTAAAATATATAATAATACTTATATTAATAATAAATATCATCAATCAAATATGTAAATTTACACATACACCAAACATAAATAAAAAATAAAAGAGATTATTAAAAACGTATTTAATATATTATTAAAAATAACTATTAATTTATTTATTTTTATGTTCACAACCCTTATCGAGCCGAGCTTAGGGCTACTCGAGCTCGGCTCAATTAATAAACGAGCCTAAAAATTGAGGTCGAGTTCGTTCATTTAGTAAACGAGTCGAGCTCAAACAAGCTTTAAACGAGCCAAGCTCGAGCTGTTCATGAACAGTTCGGTTCGTTTGCAGTCCTAGTTTTATGCAAATAAGAACTAAGGGTGTGTTTGTTTTGAAGGATTAGGGGGTGGGTTTGGACTATTAGTCCCACCGGACTAATAGTTCATTGTTTGTTTCAATTTTTTTGCTCCGGACTAATAGTTCTCCCGGACTATTAGTCCCATATTTGTGGGACTATCCTATCCCATGGGGGGGATTATTTCCATGGGATTGGTATCCCATGGGATTAGGCTCTGAAATGTCCATTTTACCCCCATGCTATTACTTAGCAAACAATTAGAAAAGGGTAAAATAGTCTTTTGAACATTTATAAATTATTTTTTTAGTATTGTTAATTTAAAATTATATATTAAATAAATAATTTAAATTATAAATTAAATTTAATAAATTAAAAATTATGGCTTTATAAATTAATTTTTTTAGTGTTGTTCAAAAATTAAATTTACATATTAAATAAAATTATTTTTTTAGTGTTGTTAATTTAAAATTATATATTAAATAAAAAATATAAATTATAAATTATAAATTTAATTTAATTGAAAATAATAAATTAAAAATTATGGCCTTATAAATTAAATTTTTTTAGTGTTGTTAAATTATAAATTATAGATTACAAATTTAAAATTATATATTAAATAAAAATTATAAATTATAAGGGTAAAATAATTTTTTAAACATTTATCCTTATCCAGTCTGTCTAATCAAACATTGGATTCACTAAAATAGGCCAATCCAGACATCTAATCCAATGACTAAACAAACATAGGATACAAATCCAATCTAACCAAATAGTCCTGAGACAATGTATCCCAAGACTAATAGTCCGATAGATTACAATCCCCTCTTATCCAGTCTGTCCAAACAAACGCACCCTAAAAGTATTAGCAAATCTAAGAAGATTGTAATGACAAGCAGCCATATGGGCTCATTTTGGAACCCATTTTAATGATCTAAACTGTTCAGTTTTTAGAATATATCGAATAGAACATACTTATAAAAAATCAAGTTGATCGGATATTGTTAACCCTTTCATCGAATTGCATTTGTATCTACAAAAATAAATGACAAATATAATTTAGAGTATAAAATTAAATACAAATGTGAGTCGATGAAAGGATTACGATATCTGATGTGAGTCGATGAAAGGGTTAAATACAAATATAATTTAGAAGATTATGGGGGTCATGACCCCTTGCTTTTATGAAGGATATTGTTTACCTCAACACTTAATACATGTATCACTTCTTTGATATTAAAAAAAAAGTGGGAGGTTTATTAGGAAATCATTTTTGAAATACTTGTGTCTCAATTAGTACATAATATGTTCTTGTATTCTAATAAATTTTATTAGTTAGATATTTGATCCATCAAATACTAATTCTTCTATTGAAAGTATTTTATAGATAATTTTATCCTTATAAATATTTTTTGAATGCTTAGTAATTTAGTGATGTGAACATTCATATTTTATAGTGTGAATATTCACATCACGGAATATTCACACTGTTAATATAAATATATGGATATTTTGATAATTATGTCACCTAAGAGGGAAATTTATATCTAAATTGGGCCGAGCTGAGTAGTGGGCCATTGTGGGCCACGGTAAGAAGGGCTGAGTATAAAGGCCTTGGAGTTAGGTCGGCCAAAGATAGCCTTGGAGTTAGCCCGGTCCAAGATGGCCTTCAAGTTAGTCTGGTCCAAGAGAGCTTTGCAGTTAGCTCGGTCACCACACTCAGAGTCAGCCCAGTCGTGGTGTATTATTGTTGGCTCGGTTAGAACCTTGCTATTAGTTAGCTCGGTCTAAGCATACCATGATTTGTACAGGGGAAACCGAGGTAAGAGCAGTGAAAGGAAGAACCGTTAGGCATAGTTTGGTCTACTCTGTGGCTTAGCATGGCCATGTTTACCTCGGTCATATTGGAATCCAACCATGGTAAAACCATCTCACTTGGTTTAAGCAGTGAGGGGGTGTTGAAGGATAAGTATTATCTTTCAGGAGTATGACTCCTAGGAGGACTCTACATAGAGGAATAAAAGTCCTACTAGGATTGTGCCACGCGGAACTTATAAAAGCTCACAACCACCTTTGGAGAGGTAAAACAGCTTTGATTCTCGAATACGCAGGGCTTTTGTCTATTTGTCTATTTCGCTGACTTAGGCATCGGAGAGGTATCCGGCACATACCCGCCGGCTAGCTCACGTTTGTGTTTTCAGGGAGTAAAGCGACGACGTACGGAGGAGCACAAACTTGATCAACAGGATTATACGAGAAGGTTTATTTCTTTCCCGTACATCACCTATATGACTTATTGAAATATAAAAAAAAATAATTTAAATTAAATGAAACATAAGTAAATAAAGAAACATTTATAAATAAATGTCCAAAAAAACATATATATATGTATCTTGTTCTTTTCCCAGCTTACATTCTCTTTTTATTTTGCTACCCTTAAATCTACCTACAGGTTTATGAACTCGGGCAATTCGGGCAACCCGAGTTCAAAATACAAAGCTTGGGCCGGGCTTGGGCAACAATGTTCGGGTTCATGGTCGGGCTTGGGCAGTGCCAAATACAATTCGGGTCGGGCTTGGGCAGACCCCCAACCTGACCGAACCCGCCCGAGTTGCACCCCTATGTGTGTGTGTTTATATAAATATAAGTTACATATCATATTATATATATATATATGCCAATGTATATATGGTGAAAAATAATTTATTTAAATTTTGGTCCATCCAATAATGAAATTAGGATTCCGTCACTGAGTATAAGTACGAAGATTCCAACACCTCGATGTAACCCAAAACCTTCATAGCCATGAAATGAACGCATCAACCCCAAATAGAATGAAAAACAATGGCTGTGTTTAGTGGGGTTATTAAAACATAATTTTATCCACGGATTTGAATGCAACATTTGGTTTCGTGTTTCAAAAATCATATTCACACCCGAGTTTGAAAACTCATCTATTCGGTCATCTACTCGGACGTTCTTCCGGACGTCTGGGCGATTGATCAAAACATTGTTCGTATTTTTTTTCTTTTTTTACACCTGTTATTTTTATATTTTAAATAAAAAATATTTTGAGAATTTTTTTAAAATTTTTTTATGAGTTTTGAATAGAATTTTAGGTTGTCTGTTTAATTGTGAGTTGTAAATTTTTTAATCAAATATCATGTCACATCACTCGATTCAAACTCAATTCAAAACTATTTTCAAAACTCATAACCAAACAAATTTTCCATACTCAATTCATAATTCTAAAACTCACAAACTCAAAATATAATTTTATTCTCAAATTATAATTCTAAAACTCTACCAACACAATTGATTTTTTTTTTTTTTTCATTTTTCAAAAACCAACTCATGCCCTTTTGACACAAATTAAAATTTTCAAATTGAAATAGTTTCGAAATTATTTTTCCAACTAAAGTTATTTTGTGAAGTTGATTTTTTGAAAAAATGAATCACCTTCACAAAACATGAGTTTCTGACGAAGTCTAAAACTATTTTGATTTTAAGATGGTTTGGTACAAACCTCCCACATTCAGCTAATGCAGTGCTGTAAACAAATCTAAACAAACTGGTTATTCAAGTTTGACTGAGAGATTTTACAAGTTTCAATATGCATTCCAACTTTTTGTTTACCTAACTAGGCAAAAGCTTGGACACCTAACAAGTCATATTCATAAATGAATTTTTAACAAACTAAATACGAGTTCAACTCAAGTAGTTTAATTTTTTTATAATATATATAAACTTATCAAACCAAATAGCAAGTTATTATTCAAATTTGATTCGATAACTTAACTAACTTTATAATATGTTCAAACTCGAGTTGTTTCCATATCAAATCGATTTTGATCGAGTTTTTAACAAGTCAAATTCAAATCAAGTGTCTTGGTTCATCTAGCACCTCTAAATGCAGCAGAGGGATTATTTTTATAGTAGAACCCTGTCATCTATACCTTCTGAAACTTCAACTCATCAAAGAAATTTAGAATTCTCACAAAGAAAATCACAGCCCATAAAACTAGAATTCTATAAAGAATGTGTCACAACAAAACCTAAAATCTCAATACAAACACAACGCAACAACCAGCTTCCAGTAACAGGAGGTGAAATGATGGCAAGCTCAACAAAACACACAACAATGAGAAAATGGAACAAACTGATAAAAATGTGGTTCAAAAAATGTATGATGTATGTAATAAGTCCATCGAATCTCTAACTCAAGTCGAAGGCTCAGGATCAGTTGCAGCAGAATCTTCTTGTTTGGATGCGATTGGAGCACCATTAGAGTCGGCATTTTTCACAGATGTAACTGGCTTTGTTGCCTCAGTTTTGGCATCTTTGGCATCTTTTCCACTTTTTGTATCATTCCCATCTTTTCCATTTTTGGCATCCTTAGTGGGAGGGGTTGGGGGCGGTACCATGTGAGGAGGTGGTGTGTGCTTCAGCTTCACCAATATGTGGCGCATCCTTGAGAGATCGGTGGGTTTCCCAGGCTTTGGGCCCTGAATGACTGTGATCCCAGGCTTCTTTTCTTGCTCCTTCTTGCCTTTCCTCTTCTCGATATTGGCAACCTCGTGAGGAATGAGCTCTGATATTGCTTTCCAGTATTGTTTATCGGCACTTTTGTGGAACTTCTCTTGACTGGCCAAGTATGACTGCCCCAGACAAAAGCACACAGATTAAGTTGAAATATATATATATATATATAAAGGGAAATAAAAGATAAGTAGACTAGACTCTCTTCAAGGTTCCACCTTCTCTTTCTCTCTGTTGTCGGTCTTGTTAGTCTCAATATTGAGTTTTCTTTTCTCATAAAAAGCTCGTTTATACTCTTCAGCTTCCTCAATAATCTGATTCCGCATCTCCTTCTCTTTCATTTCCTTCTCCTCAAGCCGTATAGCATTTTGACTGCACCGATCAACATGAAATTCTAGCGTTAAAAAAAATGTTCACGAGCATTTTCATAATATTTTAATTTAATTATGAACTTTCCTCATCTGAATATATAACATGATACATCCCATCAACAGACATAAATCTAAGATCCCCTACTCTCGTGCTAGCCATCATTATTATCAAATTGTGAATCGAATTGGGAATCATTTTGCTAAAAATAGTAAATTGTGAATCATAAGATTCAATTTATTTAAAATAATATATAAATACATATATACATTAAAAAAATTCTTAGTGTTCGAAATGAAGTGATATAATTAAATTGCATATATATATACATAAAAAAAACAAAAAAAAAAACTAAATATATCAATATAATTAATTAATCTCTTCTCTTTTTTTTTAATTTAATTTCTTGATGGAGAGACGAAAATGATGTCATTTCATACACTATGTACACAAAAATAAGAACAACATTGAATTGCAATGAATCATAATAATTATAGTGAATTGCATGATTCAAAAAATTTTATTCAACAATACAATTCAACTTGTTTTGGCTAAAACTCGTACCGAATCATGATTCTAACAAAGGCGCTAGCCATCGTACCAATCCACACCAAACCACTCAAGTAGAGTGGTGTAAATAACCGTTCGATCCGCACAAACCGCACTGATTTGCATGGATTGGGAGTGTTGTAAGCCGATAGTATAGGGGGCTCATTTGTATACTTTTATAGTTTAAGAAGTAAAGTAATACTTCCCTATAGTTTAGAGGGTCCATTTGTATGCTTTTATAGTTTAGAGGTTAAAGTGATACTTCTTAATAATTTAGGAGGTCTCCGTGTAAATAACCCAATGAATTATTTGGCAGAAAGGTTTAAAATTTAACCACCCGCATAGGGGTGACTATTGGTTGGTAAAACCTTAACTTAATAACTTTGAGGTTTGGGTTGAAGTCACGGGGCAACCACTTTATGCACTATGTCAAAGGTCAAGTGTGCCCCTAATATTTTCCTCCCCAAACACACATTAATGTGTACTAATTGGACATTATTTTTATAGCGTGAGTAAAACTGACCCAACCCACCCACTTACCATATACACATCCACACCTAATCCAATCTCACCAACACCTAAGCCTAAGGAGACATTCTTTTTTTCATTTGGCATCTTTGACAGACATCTCCTTCCTACGCTTCCCTCTCTACAGTCGCCCATCACCCCCCTTCACTATTACCCACCGTTGTTGACCATCGTCACCATCCACCTTTGCGCCCAACCCATCTACTTACCATATACCCATCCACACGTAATCCCACCTCACCAACACCTAATAACCCTAACGAGACCTCCTTTTTTCCTTTGGCATCTTTGACAGCATCTCCTTCCCACAATCGCCTTCCACCCCCCTTTACTATCACCCACCACCATTGACCATCGTCGCTCTCCAGTATCACCAATTCCCCCCACCACCACCTTTCATTGTCACCCACAAGCAATCTCTTTCTCAACCCCCAGAGCCACCTTGCCAACACCACCACAGACCATCAGATCACCATTATGCACCTTATGCTGCCGACCACCCAAGACGGTTGCCACTTCCAATACTCACAACTCATCAAGTTGAAGTAGATTTGAATCACAAAGTTAGTTTCTCACTAGTTCTCTAACACATAGATCTGCCCCTCCTGTAACAACACGACAGTGTCGCCACGATTGTATCTTAGTTCTCTCAAATAGCTCACCTGTCTCACTATTATTATTTTTTCCATTAATTTGTGCAAATATATCTAGATTTGTGTTTGGATTTGGAATTGATAGCAAATTTGTATTGAAATTGATGAGTTGTTGTGTAAGCTGATGATGAGAAGTATATATATTCCCTTTTGTGTGCTTTTTTTTTTTTTTGAATTTCCACATTAGGAAATCATTTTTGAAATACTTGTGTCTCATTTTTAGGCCATGTTTGATTCACAATACTAATAGTGAGGTATTAATAATCCTATCAAATTAGTGTGGTATTAACTATCCCACCCCTACCCCATTACTAATAATCCTACAAATTTGTTGGATTAATTATCCATTGGATTTATAGTCCTAAACCAAAATGTCAAAACAAACATAGGATGATTGGGCCCACGGATTAATAATCCTAATCCCATACTTTAATCCTTCCAATCAAACATGCCCTTATAGTTTAAGAAGTAAAGTAATACTTCCCTATAGTTTAGAGGGTCCATTTGTATGCTTTTATAGTTTAGAGGTTAAAGTGATACTTCTTAATAATTTAGGAGGTCTCCGTGTAAATAACCCAATGAATTATTTGGCAGAAAGGTTTAAAATTTAACCACCCGCATAGGGGTGACTATTGGTTGGTAAAACCTTAACTTAATAACTTTGAGGTTTGGGTTGAAGTCACGGGGCAACCACTTTATGCACTATGTCAAAGGTTGAGTGTGCCCCTAATATTTTCCTTCCCAAACACACATTAATGTGTACTAATTGGACATTATTTTTATAGCGTGAATAAAACTGGCCCAACCCACCCACTTACCATATACACATCCACACCTAATCCAATCTCACCAACACCTAAGCCTAATGAGACATTCTTTTTTTCATTTGGCATCTTTGACAGACATCTCCTTCCTACGCTTCCCTCTCTACAGTCGCCCATCACCCCCCTTCACTATTACCCACTGTTGTTGACCATTGTCACCATCCACCTCTGCGCCCAACCCATCTACTTACCATATACCCATCCACACGTAATCCAACCTCACCAACACCTAATAACCCTAACGAGACCTCCTTTTTTCATTTGGCATCTTTGACGACATCTCCTACCCACAATCGCCTACCACCCCCCTTTACTATCACCCACCACCATTGACCATCGTCGCTCTCCAGTATCACCAATTCCCCCCACCACCACCTTTCATTGTCACCCACAAGCAACCTCTTTCTCAACCCCCACAGCCACCTTGCCAACACCACCACAGACCATCAGATCACCATTATGCACCTTATGCTGCCGACCACCCAAGACGGTTGCCACTTCCAATACTCACAACTCATCAAGTTGAAGTAGATTTGAATCACAAAGTTAGTTTCTCACTAGTTCTCTAACACATAGATCTGCCCCTCCTGTAACAACACGACAGTGCCGCCACAATTGTATCTTAGTTCTCTCAAATAGCTCACCCGTCTCACTATTATTATTTTTTCCTTTAATTTGTGCAAATATATCTAGATTTGTGTTTGGATTTGGAATTGATAGCAAATTTGTATTGAAATTGATGAGTTGTTGTGTAAGCTGATGATGAGAAGTATATATATTCCCTTTTGTGTGCTTTTTTTTTTTTTTTGAATTTCCACCAACTGCACTTGCCTAAACCATCAAGTCAAAACTGCTGGTATAACTCAACTGACCCACCAGTTTGGTTGAGCCGTGGTTCTGCAACTCTGGCAATTCCAGTCAATCCACCATAGCAGTTTGGTTGAGATTTTTTTTCTGAAAACTGCCCCGTGCACACCCCCAATACCCAAGGCAAGAGAAATCAGGTAAACAGGCTCAACAAAATAATCAGGCTAGCACTATTTTGAAGCTAGAACCAAGCAGAAAGGCAGCTCATTGATTAATTACTTGCAAAGCACCCGGACACCACTCATAAAGACCACCAAAGAAGTCAATTACTTTAAGCAACCCTTCACTTGGTATGCAAGGTATCAAACTTACACTACATGATGCAGATGACACTGCATCCATCACACTAACATTGAACAAAATCTATCATAATGACACAGGAATGAGTTCTGGGTGCAAGTCCAAAAGTAAGATATGGGTACGGATACGTCATAGACACTTACATGTAAAATTCTTAAGATCTGTTTGAATGGATGTGGATTTAAAATGTGTGGATTTAACATTATGTACCACAGACCTGGATCAAAGTGGATCTAACTGCACGAAAATTAAAAGGATCCTGGCAGACTATTTAACTGCATAAGATTTAAAGGTTCTAATAAACCAAGAAAGAATAATAAATAAACCACCATGTAATAATGAGATCTATATCTTTCTTGGGAAAGGATCAAACACCTGAACCTAGATACTCAAAACAAATAAAAACATATTAATTACGATAATATAAAATCTTATATATCATTGTAATAGACAGTAATTTCATAATTTCAATGACAATTGAGTTCATCTCATAAACTATTAGACATAAAAACACATGATAATGAAAAAATTCATATAAAAATAGAGAAATCAGTTAATAACTGAATTCAATTACCATGGAAAAGCTAAAGAACAAAAAGAAGAAAAACAGATCTATGTGAATCGCAACAAACAACAGATCTTTACAACTGTAAATTTACAAGAAATGAACTAAAAACGAATGAATCGAAGACTCACCGCCGCCATTCGCGAAGAGCAAACCCTTCGTCAGGCTGCATTTCACTGGGAGGCGGAAGCACCGGCCCATCGGCGGTGAAAAAGCCGTCGGCATCCTCACCGATGTCGTACGCTTTGCCATTACCGTTCGATATAGGGATCGAAGAAGTGAACGGCGACGATTCGGCGTACTCAGGGTTCGGATCCGAGCCAAATCCGAAGGTATCAGGACTGTTGACGGACTGAGAGACCTGATCCACCGTCACCTCTTCGTAGTCGGCGGTGAATCCGCCAGCGCCGCCGTGGTACGGCGGTGGATCAGCGGCGGCGGCGTAGCCGGAGTAGTCGCCGCCCTCGAAGCGTTGGGAGTCGTATCCGACGTAGCCATCGTCGTTGCTGAATGCATCGAAAGACATTATTCTCTCTCTCTCTCTCTCTCTCTCTCGCTAGATTCTCTCTCTCCTCTTCTCTCCCTGTATCCTCGCTATACAGATTACGTGCAAGAAAGAGAGGAATGGTAAGCACATGATTTCTTTCTAATTGCACCAGGACCCCTAGATTATTGTGGCAATATTACATTACGTCCACATGATTTTTTTATATTTTTTTTTTAATTAGGAAGAAATTTTTATTACAAAATAAATAAATGATTGGATCAATATAATATAACAATATCATAAGATCTCAAAAAGAGATTAAAAAATCCTCCATAAAAAAAAGTATCTAAGCTTTCATAGAAGATGAGAAAATGCCATCATAAGAAAGTGAAAGAAATCTCCACACATGAAAGATTATTACATTAACAAACTAAAATTTTAAAAAAAAATCAAACAAAAAAAATCAGATCCAAGTCATCACCAAACTTATTCAAAAATTCACTATTCTGCAACCTTCAAATTGGAATCTAAAGACCCCACATCCGTTGGTCAATATAGAACATTGAGGTTGAGGTAGTCACTTAACGTGAAACAAACGCATTATCCAGTACCGGCCTTCGAATTGTGAGAAGATCTGAAGCCAGATCTTAAAGTTTTGGGTTTGAAAGTAGAAAAGATAAAGTGATGATAGCCAAATTGGTGAAGCAAACATCAATTTTAGATGAGAATCAGAAAAAGAGAGAGAGAGAGAGAGAGATCGAAAAAGTAGGAGAACCACCGCCATCTCCCGCTCTCCTTAGAAAAGAAAAATCTAGAGAGAAAATAAAGAGTTTTGGGTCTGTTTGGTAACGTTTACGTTTTCAGTTTATATTTACAAAAATTTTATAAACTGGTTTTTATTTATTTTTTGTTTATTTTTAAACAAACACACTACGCCAAAATTGGGCTTTAGCGGCGGTTTTTTACCGCCGTTAAAGGCTGTAAAACCGCCGTTAAAACCTTTAACGGCGGTATTAACGGCGGTTTTGTTACCGCCGTTTATGCGCGTGTCGGAAAAAGTACAACCGTCGTAAAAAGGTAAATTACCGTCGTTAAAAGTCGATCAAAAACGGCGGTAACATAAGACCAAAAACGGCGGTTTTTTACCGCCGTAAATAGGTTCAAATTTTTCAAAAAATAATTCTTTCTTCTTGCACTCCCCAAGTCTTGAACCCTCAACCTCTCATCCACCCACACTAACCACTCTACCATAGCCACTCTTCATGAAATATATTCCCTATATAAATATTTAAACATTACTTTTACTTTATTGTAGATGGTTTCGCCGGAGCTCGCCGGAGTTTCGCCGGAGCACGCCGGAGTTTCGCCGGCAAAGACCGCCGTCATTAACAGCGGTAATGATTGGGCATTAGCAGCGGTTTTGTTACCGCCGTTAAAAGTGGGCATTAACGGCGATTTTTTTAACGGCGGTAACAAAACCGCCGTTAATGATACCTTTAACGACGGTTTTCGTTACCGCCGTTAATAGTATCTTTAACGACGATTTTCGTTACCGCCGTTAAAAAAATCGCCGTTAATGCCCTGTTTTGGCGTAGTGACAAAAACTACAAACGCGTTTGGTAATTGACAAAATGTTTTAAAAAATTTTAAAATATAAAAAAGAGTGAGAAATGCCAAGTGGCGGCAGAAGACGGAGGTGGAAAGTGGTGACAGTGGGTGGTGAGTAGCAGTTGGTGATGGTTGGTGGCGGGATATATACAATCTGTAAACCTGTAGCATTGCAATAAATACAATCTGTCCAACAGCATCTGTACATGTTTAAAAAATCCTATCACACACAACTTTCATCATATCACAAAGAACTTAAAAAATTCAGCATAATCTGCCAATATATACAATCTGTCCAGCAGTCCACACACACAAGAAAATTCAACAAGTAGCAAAGATAATAATTAATCCCAAGCACAACCCGCAAGGGATAGGTTACCAAAAAATTAAAATTAAAAATAAAAAAGCATCCCTAAAAGAACCTGTACTTTCAACTCTTACAGCCTGTAGAGAGGGAAAAAAAACATATATAGAATACACATTCAGAGCCCACACATTCAGAGCCCAACCACCTGTACTTTAAGCTCCCCTAAAAGAATTGACATAATAATGGAAATATCATATATACTTCAGCACAACACAAAACCTAGAACTCAACAATATTTATACACACTTCAGCGCAAACATCCCATTCTGTATCAAGTAAATTTGTTATTACCATAATACGCAAGTTGTCCAAGTATCATAAATATAAAATGTCAAAACCATATATTCATTACCGCATATGGGAGAATAGAGGATAATTGCATGGCCAAAAAGTTACCTCATAGAACCAAGTAAGCTAATGTCAAAACAGAGTGATATTAAGAATGCATAATGAAATGTAAAACGTCAAATAATTCAGCATACCCGTTCTCATTCGGCAAACATGGTCATGGCCAAAACTGAAAGTACATCTGCTAGTAAATATTATATTAAAAGGAAAATGTGTACTCATGTTATCAATGGATTTTTTTTATACTAGGAAAAAGGTTTTAGAATTAAATTTATCGATTTATCTTTTAAATTAGTCCTATTTGATCAACTTAATTGTCAAAAGAGGATAGAATGTCACATAAGGGTAAAACTGAATCAATTTCAGAAGTTAGAGAATTATTTGAATGAAATTAACAAATTAACAAATTTCAACTTTGAAATTTATTTCTTAAAAGAAGTGAATGATGTAAATTTAAAATTGATAAAAAAATGTGAGTCAGGTTAGAATAACTGTGGTCCTACATATCATTTTCTTAGTAATTTTTCTACTATTAGGATTGTTGTTCTCTTGATAAGTAATATATAATCAAAATAACATCATCAAAATAATAATCACAACAGGTTATGATTAACAAATTAATCTTCAAACTAAACAAATTTCAACAAATTAATCTTCAAATTTATGACTAACAGGTTATGACTAACAAATTAATTTCAACAAATGACTAACAGGTTATGACTAACAAATTAACACCATCATCTACAACATCAGAAATATATAAAATAATTCCTACACACAGAAAAATTTGTTGAAATTTGTTAACATCATCAAATTAACAGATATCTTCAACATCATCATCTTCAATAATGAACAATGAACAATAATTAGGGGAGATCTATATACTCATATTCAGATAAATTTAGAACAATGAACAATAATTAGGGGAGATCTATATACTCATATTCAGATAAATTTAGAACAATGAACAATAATTAGGGGAGATCTATATACTCATATTCAGATAAATTTAGAACAATGAACAATAATTAGGGGAGATCTATATACTCATATTCAGATAAATTTAGAACAATGAACAATAATTAGGGGAGATCTATATACTCATATTCAGATAAATTTAGAACAATGAACAATAATTAGGGGAGATCTATATACTCATATTCAGATAAATTTAGAACAATGAACAATAATTAGGGGAGATCTATATACTCATATTCAGATAAATTTAGAACAATGAACAATAATTAGGGGAGATCTATATACTCATATTCAGATAAATTTAGAACAATGAACAATAATTAGGGGAGATCTATATACTCATATTCAGATAAATTTAGAACAATGAACAATAATTAGGGGAGATCTATATACTCATATTCAGATAAATTTAGAACAATGAACAATAATTAGGGGAGATCTATATACTCATATTCAGATAAATTTAGAACAATGAACAATAATTAGGGGAGATCTATATACTCATATTCAGATAAATTTAGAACAATGAACAATAATTAGGGGAGATCTATATACTCATATTCAGATAAATTTAGAACAATGAACAATAATTAGGGGAGATCTATATACTCATATTCAGATAAATTTAGAACAATGAACAATAATTAGGGGAGATCTATATACTCATATTCAGATAAATTTAGAACAATGAACAATAATTAGGGGAGATCTATATACTCATATTCAGATAAATTTAGAACAATGAACAATAATTAGGGGAGATCTATATACTCATATTCAGATAAATTTAGAACAATGAACAATAATTAGGGGAGATCTATATACTCATATTCAGATAAATTTAGAACAATGAACAATAATTAGGGGAGATTTATATACTCATATTCAGAAATCTATATATTCATCTTCAATAATGAACAATGAACAATGAACATCATCATCTACACAGAATAAATAAATTTAGAAAAAAAAAAACAGATCTATATACTCATGGTATACAGACTTTGTATATATATATAATCAGATATATTTATATAAACAGATATATTTATATATATATATATAATAAATAA